CACTTCCCACCTGAGGAGGGAAATGGAAAAAAGAAAAGGAGAAATTAAGACAGATTTAATAAAATAGTAATAAGAAACTAATAGTAATACCAATATTAATATAAAATTTACTGTATGCTGTGTATTACCCAATACTCAGCTCATATAGCGGTTGCAAGCTGTGCGCTCCCAGATGTGAATACCAGATGACAAACACTACCAATGCCACAGCTCCAGCAAGAGTGTGGTGGTCACAACGAACTGGGGAGTAGGCCTTGGGAGCAGGACTATGGGGGAGACCCTCCAGGGATCGTACACTTCAAGGAAGAAGGGTTGTCCGCAGCAAACTCCCCAATTTACAGCCAATGTGATGTTCATGGTATGGAACAATTCTGTTGGCCAGCTTGGGTCATCTGCCCTGGATTTCACTCCCTCCAGCTTCTGCACCTGGCTAACTTGAAACTGCTGAAGACCTTGATGACAATGGCAGTATACATGGCGGTGCTGGTCAAAAACTAAACCCAAGTGTCTCATCAACTTTGTTCCTTTGACTCTAATGCTGTAGTCTTCTCAAATACAGCTTTCCTGAATAGAGAATAGATTCTATGATCCTATGCCAGTGAAATCAGGACACAAGAATAAATCAGTCGTATCAATTTCAGCTGTTCTTTACAGCTTAGTAGCCTTCTGCTGATTTTTCAATTGTTTCCTTTTAAAAATTTTGCAGTATGGTTCTGGTATCTTTTCTAGGTGCTCACATGGAACACCCGGCTCCTAATCTTCCTTTCCTAGATACAGAGAGGCAATGCTTACTTTTCGTCAGCGCTCTGACATCTCCCATACTCTCAAAGGTAGTTACTGAGGGTTTAGATCCTCAAACAGTGACTTGATTGGCTGTAACTAACCTAAATAGTCTTCATTCCAGTCTTTCCATACTGCACCCTGTTCTCTTTTCCCACTGCATGACACTGTTGCAGTATCTGTTAACTTTTGTCTAGAAAGAAATGACCTTTTACTTTTCCTCTGTCAAATGCTGTCCTTCTTTAAATATCGAACCTGACTGTTTCTTGTTATTCTTACTGCTGATGTGTTTATGTAGCTGTTACTTTTTGTGTCCCATAGTGGGCTATCAAGTAAACCTAACTGGGAAATTAATTGTTGTTAAATAATCCTTGCCTGTAAGGGAAAAGGAGGTGATCTGGAGCATTCCCATTCACTTGTGGAAAGCTGGGCTTTCACTTGTGGAAATGAAGATCTGGTGTGTATAGGAACAAGAAGTGTTCAGCATTTCTAAAAACTTGACTTCATTTAGATTTAGTCTCCCACTTTTCTGGCAGAGAGGAATTGGATTCATCTTAAAGAGCTATGTATATGTTCACGTAGCATGAGAGGAGTGGACAACTGCACCCAGCTCAGTGCAGCACAAGAAACGAGGTTCTTATATTCTCAAATCAGTTGGCAAAGGAAGAAAAACAAGTGCAAATGTGAAATAACCAGGAGAAGAGGATAAATTGGTAACACAGAAACCAGCTAAGAGGCAGGCTGGATGGCATTTCTAGCTTGAATATCTGCAGTTCAACATAAGCAACTGTATCAGAGCTATTTTTCCTACAATACCTATGTAACTTAGGATCCAATATGAGCTTTAGCTCACAGGAATTTCCTGTGTGACCTGGTCTGGGTGATCCTGCTCTGGCAGAGGGGTTGGACTGGATGAGCTTTCGAGGTCCCTTCCAACTCCTAACATTCTGTGATTCTGTGAATTTCAGTCTTTCTGAACAACAAGGTTGAAGTTTTTAAGTGCCTTTGAGTTTTAATAACAGATTTTAACCTCTCGTTTGTGTGCTTTTGAAAATGCCTTTCAGGCTTTCTTTTTTTCTGAAAAATTTGCATTTACATTCACCTTCCATTATATTAAAAGGAGAAAAAAATGTAATGGATGGCAGAATTCCCTGGGAAAAACCAAAAAGAGCCCCACGTCGGTGATGCATAAGGGAATACTGCCAAGAAAAAGTGGAGTTTTTACAGGCATATTGCTTTTAGGCTATAGTGTGTTGGGTTTTTTGTGTGTGTGGGTTTTTTTTATCTGCTGCAGACAAGAGGTCTCAGACAGCCCCTATGAAGGAACACTATTGTAAACTGCGAAATGCGCTCTTCCTTCCTCCGGAGATTCCACTGGCAAAGCAATTCTGATAAAGTTTTTTCCCTTCAGCTGCAGAGCTTCTGCCACAAGAAGGATGAGCGCTTACCAGTAGGAAGCTCATAAAACGACTTGAAAAAAATGAATCTCCAGGAAAAGGTGTAGGATTTTCTGGCTGCAGAGAGGATATAAACTATTCTGGGGTTGTCTATAATTTTTTTGTGTATACAACTATAACAGCTGATCAGTGTTTTAGGAAAAAAAAAAAGGTTGCTCTGTCAAAATTAATTATCAATTAGTTTGTATTAAGATAATGTTTACAGAACCCCTGTGAAATAAGGCCCTGCTGCAAGATGTGCTGTGCACGTGCATTAAAAGTACTAGCCTCTGTTAGGAGGGTTTTCAATCTGAAGAACATGGACAGAAAAAGGTTGGCAGACAGGAAATGTTTTCACCCCTAATTTACAGGAGAGCAGCTGAGGCTAAAGAATTGCGGTCCTGCTCTGATGCTACCTGCAAGTGTCTGGGAGTCTGGTTGTTTTCAGCAAGGCTGGCCCAGGCCTGGGCTTGCAGAATGCATCTGCTGAGTGGCCAAGAGTCAACCTCAACTTTTTGGAGTTTCTTGGTGGTTTGTGTTTCTAGCTTTGCTAGTTCACACCTGCTAGAAAGTGTTTCTCTCCCTACAAATATTCAGTGTGTTGTTTTTAAACTACTCTATTCAGTAACTGACTTTGACGTGTTTTCTAGGACTTTGTTGAAATTTCTAGTAAACTCTCGTATTTTGAAAGTAACTGAGGCTGGCTTAGACTATACTCTTTGTCTTCTTTTCCGTCATGGATTCCTTTGATGGGTAGAGATCTGTTAAGGTATGGCTACTCGACAAATATTTTTTTGTGGAAAAAAGTTGGAATTGATACTAGCTGAGATCTTAGCTCAGGATCCAGGAGCCAGTGATTTTTCTTCTGTAAGAGCAGGCTGAGGCTCAAAAATAAGACCTCAAACATGCACAGTATAAGCTATAACTATGGTTTACAGATACGAAATAGGTGCTACTCTGTGTCTTCCTATTGCTGACAACCCTTGTTGAGTCCTTTGAATGTCAAGCCTCATTAAACTTCACCCATAATGATGCACTGTTTTTTGGATACCAGTTTTGATAATGGACTGTCTGGTGAAGACTCCATAGTAAGTGTCTGAGGGGACATGGAACAAGTGGTGGGGTGATGTGGCTGATCAAGGTGCAAGGGAATAACACTATTTTGTATTGACCAGAGTTGGGAGTGCTGGGGAATGTGGACTCTGCAACAAGCTTCTAGTGTCGTGCCTGTGCACAGGGTTGACCACAGAGCTAATGTGTCTGTAACCTGTGATGCCCATTCCCTACTTGTAGTCCTCAACAATATTTGTGAGACCTCCTGTAACAGAGGAGAGAAGGATACTTAAGTGAGAATATCCAAAACTCCTGTTGCACATAACATGGAAGTCACTTGAGTGACTTGTCACTGTCACTGAAGTGGCATACATGGGAAGGTGCGTGTGAGGTTCGAGGAGTGGAGCGCAGTGGTGCAGGCAGAAGACTGTTGTGCAAGGAGCTGGTGATCCTCATACTTACTGCCTTCAGGTGCACTCTGAATAGCCTGTGACTGGCTGCCAACCCCCCGTAGCAAAGTGTCCGTGATTACTCAGGTGTGTGTCTCCATACCATGGGTGCCATGTCAGTGCTTTCTGCCGTAGTATAATTAATCTGTGTATACACAATAAATGTGCATTAATTCAGTATGAATCTACTGTATTGTCTTGTCCACTTGAAATATTGTGTGCACCTGTTCATGAATTGTAACTCTATTGAGGTGAAGATATTGGAGCATATTGTCCGAGGGACTCTTCAAAGGTCAGTCCACGTTCCAGGCTTGACTGCTACAAGTAACTGATGAATCTATATTGTGAGCAAGACTCTGGAAGAGTATGAGCAATCCTGGGGCTGTCAAACTTTGCCACAAATGAGAACTCTGTGCTGTGATGCACAAAGAAGGGCTTGTCCAGTACTACAGTTTCTATCGTTTACTCAAATTTCGTTTACCAGCTTTGAGTGTTGGTGCCTCTCTTACTGATATCCCTAAAGAACTGGCACCTTGTTGGTGTAAAACATTATGCTAGGCGAAAAGTTGGAATCTGCTTGTTCATGCAACTAACTCAAACTAACCATCCTGCTCCTTCCTGATATCCTGGAATTGTGTGTTTCAGTGAAACTGTGTAAAGCAGCACTTGGCAGTTTGTCAGCACAGTGTCAGCACAGCAGGCTTAATGTGTGGGAGGGCCAGATCCTGGGGTTTTCCAAGAAATTTTTTTCCACGCGGAATTTCCCGTCTCGTGGAGGACAGGCAAGTTGAGACAATAAAAGGCTGTAGTAAAGGCAGGGGATCACACAGTCCACACACTTGGAGCTGAACTTAATCTTCAAGTCTGTATTCAGCAACTTAGCAACGGAAAGCAGTCGCTGAGAGATAGCGCAGAGGACTTTTGCTTCCTGGCCACCACAACTGCAACCTGTGAGTATAAGTGGAGTGTGTTATTCTGTTTCATTGCTCAGCTGAAAGGAAAACTGGACAGATTAAATGCTGTGTTTTGTGCTCTTTAAAAGCTGTTTGCATTTAAAAGCTATCTTGACATTAAGAACTGTTTTAAAATGAATAAATGAATAATTGCCTAAAAATTGAAATCTTAAGTCTTTAGAATAATTGTTTAAAAGTATGTAGAAAAGATTGTATAGACAGTATAGTACATAAGACTGTAAAAAGTCAGTATTTCTTCTTTACAATGTGTTCCTTTGATTGTTTTAGCCATCTGCTTAAAAGATAGAGAAGAGAAAATTCTCAGAAACATGATTTGCTTGCAGTTCCTATCTCTTCTTGCTTATGGTAAGTACGTATGCCTCAGTGTAGAAAAACTAGTTGGGTGGTAATGTCAGTGTGCCTGCTCTGTTTGAGCTCAGAATTAAACAGCATTTTTGAACCTGATCTAATTAGCTCGAGGCTGGGTTCACATAGAAGAACCTCTAGCTGTGACGGCACATTTTCCTGCTCGCCTGTCAAATACATAATTGGCTCCTATAGTTTGCTATGAAATCTGCAAAGCTCTGTGTGATCGGACGTAGTTTCACAGGCTGAAGTCTCTGTACTTGATGCTGATGTGCCTGTTTTGGAGTTTGCCAGTTAGTTGTTTATAAAATAATTGCCACTACTTCTTATGCAGTTTCTGATATTGACAAGTTTGCAGTATTTATAGAGCTTTATATACTCTTATCTAGAGAGAGAGAGAGGAAGGAAAAAGTCAGACACCAACTTTTTGGCATCTTTTTATTCTAGGACTTACAATACTGCAGGGGGTGAATTGTTGGACATACCATTATTCAGACACAAACATGACCTACAGGGAAGCAGAACTGTGGTGCAAAAAGAGGTATACTAACATGGTTGCCATTCAGAATAAGGAGGAAATCAACTATCTCAATAATTTCTTACCCTTCAATCCGGGTTACTACTGGATTGGAATCAGAAAAATTAATGATGTATGGACCTGGATTGGAACTAACAAACAACTGACAGAAGAAGCAGAAAACTGGGCTTCAGGTGAGCCAAATGGTAAAGGGAACAACGAGGACTGCGTCGAAATCTACATCAAAAGAGGGAAGGATGATGGCAAATGGAACGATGAGCAGTGTGAGAAAAAGAAGGTCGCCTTGTGCTACACAGGTATAGTATGATAAAGGCGCTTCTAGTGTGCCTCTGTGGAGATGAGATGGTGGGTGGGATGAGTTATTTAACCTAGCCTTACGTCTTGACTACCTGACCCTGTAAGCACTTGTACACTTATCCTTACTTAGAGGGCTGAGGTTGTTCTTGTTCTAAAAGCTGGATTAATCTCACCTTTTAGCTCCCAGAATATTATACATCTCTTATGAGCAAATCACCAGACCTTCTCTATAATCAGTGGAGAGAAACAGACTCTTCCAGGTGGCAACTTTCATCCCACTCTCAAGTGGGTGTCTCAGCTAGATAAGACTGGCTCTTTTGGAAGCATCTGCCTGCTGACTATAGACCACTGGATTAGACACTTTGTGTAAAAGTGGCTATGGGCTAGGTAAAAATAAAAGAAAAGAAAAAACCCAAGTCAATTATCAACCAAATTAGAGCTGTGATGTGTTAATGAAGAATGTGGCTGTTGAAGATTTCTCCCTACCCCATAATATACTGTTCCTTTTTGCATTTTAAATATTGCTAATATCTACCTGAGAACAAGTGATCATGGAGTTTCCAAGCCAGTAGAATCCTTTCACTGTGAGCTATTCTGTCAAAGATGATGATTTCTGAAATGCTTCTGTGAAATGACTGGGGAGTCTTATGCTCTAAACACCCTGCTTTTCTTTTGCTATAAAGTACTTGTTTAGTGCCAGAAAGATAAAGTGCTAGCCAGGTTTCATTAGTGGCCATTGCTAATTCTTTTATAACTTGCTGTATTTTTTTTTTCTTTGCCAGCTTCTTGCAACCCTTCACTCTGCAGTGGTCGTGGGGAATGCATAGAAACTATTAACAATCACACCTGCCACTGTAACCCTGGATTCTATGGACCAGAATGCGAGTTCGGTAAGATACTTCATCCTGCTTTTCAACCAGGGCGACGTTCATGGTAGCCAATGTTCAGTTTGTCTGGCTTGTTGATTTACCCGTTGAGCCAATGAGTCTGACTGCACCTTCTTCTGTTTCTTTGAAGTTGAGAGTTGTGATCCACTAAAGAAACCTGATCATGGGAGCCTTGAGTGTGACCACCCATTGAAGAACTTCGGCTACAACTCGTCCTGCACAGTTCAGTGTGAGGAAGGCTATGAACTGACTGCACTGGAATCTGTATACTGTACCTCTTCTGGAGTCTGGTCTGCCACCCTCGCAGCATGCAAAGGTGAGCTTCTCAAGCACTGATAGATGAGCTTTCTACATTATATGTAGCTCTGTAAACTTCAGTGTTACTTTGTTAGTAGGTACAAATTAAAGTTCTGGCCCATCCCTTTGTAATTAATTATGTGGTGAAGGTGCTATTTCATTGCAGCACACAGGTCTCTGTTCCTGAAGAGATGAAATGGGCAGGATGAATGTTCTGGCCCTGCTCTAGATTTCTCTGTACGGAAAGACTATTCTACCTCTTAGTGGGGAACAGGGAATGGAGATGACCTAGCTGTGAAACTGCTTACAACAGGCCAGTTACTCCTGACTGTAGAAATTATTTTTTGAGGTGTTCAGCTTAGAATAAGCTACTGTTTGAAGCCTATGAAAGCATCAAACACCACCAAGCAGTAGTCAAATGGGAAAATTTTGGATTGTCATTAGTTGCAGTCATGAGCTGCAGATGCATTTACAGCCTTGTCTTAAGAGTCAATCTTCCATTTCGAGATCTTTCCACTGCTGTCTGCTTTCTGAAATGCCAGCATAGTAGATCTCCTTTCTAAAGCTGCTTCCATTTAGTGGATATGTTGCTAAGTTTCAGGAAAGAAACAAAAAGCCAAACTTTTATTGCTTGTTTCAAGCTAAGCTCTGTGTTTTCTTTTATGCTTTTCAGCTGTGACCTGTCCTGCCTTAGAAATGCCTGCCCATGGTGCTATGAACTGCTCCCATCCCTCTGTGGAGCTCACCTGGGGTATTACCTGTGAGTTCACCTGTGAGGAAGGATTTACCCTGACAGGACCAGCCACACTGCAGTGTGGGTCTTCTGGGGCCTGGGACAGGCAGCAGCCATCCTGTGCAGGTACCTTTCCTTATCCCTGCTCACCTGAGCACTTGGGGCTGTCAGCATTGTCATGTTGAATTCCTGAGGCATCTGTGCTGATTGCTGTTGTGATGTGTGTGTTGCAGCTGTGAGGTGTGAGGCTGTAACCTGGCCAGAAGAAGGCTTTGTGACCTGTGACCATGCTCCTTCAGATCTCACCTATGGCTCGCATTGTGATTTCCGCTGCATTGAGGGCTACATTCTGGATGGCCCATCCAGCATTGAGTGCACAGCACAGGGACGGTGGTCAGAACCAGTGCCAAAATGCAAAGGTGAGACTTACTGGGTTGGAAAATACAGTTTTCTTGTCACTAGACAGTGCACTGAAATCTGTATTCCTATAGGGTACTGGCTCCAAACTAAACTCTGCTGCCTTTTGTCAGAGTCACAGTCACTCTTGTGTTTTAAGCTGTGACTTGCCCTGCCTTAGAAATGCCTGCTTAGGACAGGGGAAGTTTCTAAACATTTCTTTCTGTATTTCAGTTGTACAGTGTGAACCACTGACCACTCCTGAGAGAGGCTTTATGGATTGCTTACATGGTGCTGGGAACTTCACATACAACACAGCCTGCCACTTTAGCTGCTTAGAAGGATGGAGGCTCAATGGTTCGCATGTTCTTGACTGCAGTCATACAGGAAACTGGAGTGCTAGCCTGCCCACATGTGAAGGTATTTGACCTGTGACTAGCCACAGAGGTGGCACTGGGTTTCTAGTCAGATGAGGTATAGAAGGGTGGAGGAGGTAACAGCAGCCAGTGAGCTAGAACTTCTAGTGAAGTCCATGAATTAAAAAGCCCAACAAAAACTCTCAGTATGTTTGTTTTTGGAAAATAGAAAGCAGAAAAGTTCCTATGAGGTTTTGGTAGAAAAATGTTTATTTCTTAAGCAAAAGCAAAAGCCACAACCTGATTTTTGGGTTGTGTCGTTTGGTTTTCAATTGAAATGTTTCTCATGTTGAGCTTTTTCCATATGAATTAAAAAAAGGTTTTTCAGAGAAACAGAATCTTGTGGAGAAAAATCTGCATCCATAAGCGTTTCTCACTGGGAAATGTTACAGATTTGTTAATTTGGTGTGATAATTTTGTGGGTGAACTCCTCAGCCAAAAGATCTCACAGAGCTTTTCTGTCAAAGGCTGTAATTTTACAGGAGAGAAGTCTCAAACTTGCAGTAAGAGCTCTGTCCCTGTCCTCAGTGGAAACATACTTGGCCTGCCTGAAATGCTTTTGCTTGAGGTCCTAAAAGCTCAACTCCACTTTATTTGCTTGAGCAGAACTTAGATCCTTGAAAGATTTCATTGATCTAAACGAGATTGCTCAAAGAGGAAAACAGCACTGTGGGAACTAAAATATGAACTGAAACACGAAAATAAGATGAGCATAAATTATCATGTGAGGCTGGAGATTAGACAGACCCTTTTTGCCTTGCTGTTGCTTTTGCAGTAGGTGGGATAATTTTTAGTATGCCGCTCGTTACAGTGTGTATGGGATGTGTCCTGTCTCAGCAAGAGAAAACTTAAGGGTTACAAGTTGCAGTTCTGGTTCCTCTTGAAGAGCACAAGGAAAAGGAAGAGTAGAGGGCTTCGAAGATCTCACATGCCTCTTAATCTCACTGAAACTTCTTCATCCTTTCAGCCTCTGAACAACTCAGCTACGTAACTGTGGGTATAGCAGCCACAAGTGCCTCTCTGTTGTCCACGGCATCATTCCTCCTTTGGCTGGCAAGACGTTTACGAAGGAAAGGTGAGCAATTGGACTGGGTCCGTTAGTTGTGTTTACCTTTCTGAAAAATTTGGAGGAAAAAAACCAACCACCTCCAAACCCCAATACTTTGCTCTTTGAAAAAGTGAAAATTCCCATACTTAAATTTCAAAATTATTTTCAAGAAGATGGCATGCAGATTGTGTTTGGCTTTTGGATGAACATTTAAAAAAATAAAAAATAAGAAAACACGATTGTTTAGAAAACAAGAATTAGAAGAAAAAAGCAACATTCTGTTTATCAGTAATTACTGCCAGGAAAAGTGAATAGGAATTTGAGATGGGGCTCATGACAACACAGTAATAACTGCCTGTGAGATTTGTTGCAAGATAATGGCTTTTTATCAGATATTCAGAAGTGAGAGGTTTTTTTAGTACAAGAAAAAGTTTGCATGAGGGGGCTTTCATCTTGAAATGCTAATACTTTTTCTTATTCTTCTTGCAGCAAAGAAATTTACTCCTTCCAGGTAAGTTGTGTCTCAAAAAGCAGCATGAAAAACACTGCAATTACTTTGCTAAAATCCATTTGATTTTAGCATCCATCCAAACCAGTTGTCATTAAAGTACTTTTTGTTTCTGTTTTTCACAGTAGCTGCCAGAGCCTAACCATTGAAGGTAGCTTCCAAAGTGCTGGCCAGAATGTCTAACTCCAGGTGTTTCAGGTAAGCATGTGAGATAGCTGCACTCTCAAATTCTCTTCCTTTTAGTCACACAAGCAATCAGAGCTATATTTACTATACAACTGGTATACAGCTGCTGAAATAGCAAGATGTGCTTTGGGAGTACCTAATATACATCTTGGCATTGCATGGAAGTTCCTAACAAGACTGATGGATTTATTGCTTTAGAAATGTTTATTCAGCTTCTTAAAGACAATTGTACTTAGCATTCTGTCCAGCCACATATAATATTAGGTCCACTCTTGGGTGTTTTTGCTACCTGGTGCATACAAAATTCCTCTGAAATGAGAGCAAATACAAATCTATGCCAATTTTCCAATTTATAGAGGTATTTTGTTCTCTCTGCAGGAATTGGAGCCATCTTTACTTATGTTTCAGATTTCTGGAGAATGAAACTGCATGCAAATCAGCAGCTGTCCAGATGTTTTTACCTTTTGCTGACAAGATGATTGGCCTCGTGTATTGCTCAGAAATTTTGAACTCAAGCTGTCTGGTATTTCCATTGAAGATAAGCAGGGAGTAAAACTCTGGCCTTCTGGCAAAATACTGTCTACATTCAGTCATGTAGTTGTAACTGGGAGCTTGCCATCTCTTGTCCAGATGGTAAGCAAATAGTGAGCTGCTGCCTAAAGAGGGGGCTGGTTTCTCCTCTGGTCTGCTCAAAGGTACCTAGGTGAGGTGAAGACATGCATTATTTCACATCACTTGCTACACTGCTGGAGATGTCTTCTCTGGAGAGATATGGGTTATACTTGCAGAAACAGAATAATTGGGATGAAAAAATATTCACTGAATAGCCTTGAAACCCTTGATCTGGTTTACTGTGGAAGTCAGTTTATTTTAAGAGGATGTCCCAGTCAATAAATATGCCTGTAGTGATATGGGCAATTGTTTGGGTTTCTGCTGCACGTCCTAGAAAGCTTTGGGACTCTAAACTTTTTTTTCTTTTTTGTGATAGCGCTAGGAATCACAGTGCTCGTACTAGGTACTCTAGGCTCTGAATGCAGCAAGTGGATCTGAAATTATCTCATCCCTGTGGGATTATGCACTGTAATACAGGTGTATACATAAATATTTAATTGTGCATTTTTTTACTGTGGATATTTCTGTGTTGTTAACTGTAAATGTATTGTAAAATACCTGTTCCTGAGTAGGTCTGTGGCCATTGATCTGGGCCCAGGTAATTTAAAAATAATTCAGAGGTGTCTGTAAGGATTTCATGCCTGCGTATTATTTACAAGTGAAATGGAAGCCCGAGATTTATACATATATATATTGCAAGCATGAATTATTAAGCTGTTAAAGGACTTTAAATGAGGAAATCTTTCTTAATAAGTTATGTTTAAGTTATAGTCATAAATTAAGAATCTCTAACTTGGAATCTGATATGTATTGTCCTATTTGTAACAGTATTTAATAAAATGTTTTACATGAAATGCTCCCTGTTTGGAAATGTACATCATTTAAATGATTTAGGTCGGCCCTGTGGGATATGGCTTCAGCAGCAGAATGTGAAGGGTTGGGGGAAGACTGGCTAAATAGCAAGGCTGTCCCTTGGCTTTCCGTTTTCATAGGCGTCAAGGAAAGAGTAGCCAGCAGATGGCACTGACTGCCTGGGAGCTCGCACAGCCAGAGCTGGACCCTAAACCAGTCCTGAAAAAAAAGAGGAAGGCTCAGAGATGTGTCCTGTAAAGCAGGTGCCTGTAAAGCAGTGGGCTTTGCAACAGGCATGCTTAGGAGAGGGGAGAAGAAAGAGAAGCAAGTAGGTGATCTTGGTGCACAGTTAACTGCACAAACCCCTCAGCTCATGCAGGTCTTCTGCTGGGACGTTAGCTGAGTGCAGCAAACCATGGGCTAACAGGTGAAAGCACAGCTCTGGGGATTGGTGGTGACTGTCCAGGGACCTCCACTCCCACCGTGGCTTGGGCTGTTGCCAGAGACTGCCACAGGCTAATGCTGGCTAGGTACCAGTGAGGGCCAGACACTCCTGTGGCCATCCTTCCCCAACCCCTGATGTAGCCAAGGAAGTGGCACTGTCTCTCTGTAGCTGCTGCCAAAACCATGAGATGCATCCCTGCCCTAGGCGCAAGGCTCAAGAGAAGCCATCGGGCCTGTGAGCAAGGGAGTCAATTAAGAGGTGCTGTGCCACAGTGGAGAGGGCCCATCACTGTTTATTCCAAACCGATTAACAAACTGAGAGCGGCTGTCAGTGTTTCCCCCGCCTTGACAAGGTGGGGCCCAACCGTGTGAGCAGATGTAGAGCAGTAATCCTTCAGGTTCCCTGAGGGGACGTAGAGATTAGCCCGAAACGCCCTGCTCTGAATCCCTGCAGGAGCTGTTTTGAGAGCTAAACCACCACATGGGTCCCCCAGCCTGTCCTTGTTGTTGTCCTCTACATGCATGGCCCTGTAGCATCCTCTGGAAAGAACTCCTCAAGCCAGCATGGCTCCTACCCTGCTGCAGTGCAGCTTCTCCTTTCCCAGGAGGTGACCAGAGCTGGTGCTTCTAGCAGCTTTCCCTGGGATCTTACAGGGACTTCATTGCCAGAAAAGAGACTGCAAAATTATCCCTTCCCTTTTGTCCAAACCTTCATCCCTTGTGACTTCCTGGGGCAGCAGGAGTGAGACCACATTTGTGTGGGATTAGTCCTCTCTTTCATATATTCCCTAGGCCAGACAAAGACTCCCTGAAGGGATCTCCTTCCAGTGGCTGACAGGGTCCATCTCTTGTTAATGTAGTTAATGTTAGTTCAGGGCACAGGCAAAACCCTAGCAGTGCTTGTCCAGGTTGCTTGATTCTTTGTCCCCTCCTGGCACTGTTTCTTCCTGTTTCAGGATATGAATTACCAGCTATGATGGCATGGTGTGTCCAGGCCTCTAGGATCTTCGGGAAGTCATTTTGTTCACAGTGGATGTGTCTGTTGCAGTGCCTGTGAACACAGCTCTTCTGTTGTTTGCTGTCTGTATAGTTCCTGTGCTGGCAAGAATGGCCATGGGAATGCCTGCTGCCAGGTGGTCATTTAGTGACTCCATTGTGTCACTCCCCTATATGGTGTAGTCCTGTGCAGCCACTGAAGAGCCACAGGGCCTTTGCTGGAAGGACTTTCCTAATTTCCTGTTGTTCCATTTCCCTTAAATTCGTCAGCTCTCCCTGGGCCTGTGGCATTGTTCAGAATGGGATCCTTTGCCTAGCGTCTTATTTTGGAGCGGATATCTGTTTGTGCTGTGACCTATGGAAGCTGTGAAGATGACATTAACTGGGAGGCACGCATGTCCTTTCACAGCTCTGTGTGTTTGCTGCTTGGCAAGGGGATGCTTTTTGTGGTGTAACTTAACACATTCCTGATGAACCAAGCTACCCAGGCAGCTTTAGCTTTTTACATCTGCAGTCTGAAAGGAGGGGACTTAGAAACAAAATTTCACTTAAAGTCTCAAACAGACAGGTAGTGTTTGATTTGGGGTGGGTGTTTCTGTGGCCCTTGGTAATATGGACAGTATAAGACCTGCCCAGATTGTGTCTGTGCCTCCTGTTTTCACAAGCAATTAGCCATCAGGCACGCAGTCATTACCAGGGCCTGGATGAAGTTGCCTTCCACAGCTCCAGTTTTCAAAGGCTGGACTGGACCCAGCACATGACCAGCAGTTCTTCACTCACGAAGATAAGTCACTGCTACAGGCTTTGGAGACTGCACATCTTTGCAGCTCCTTGCGTGCTTTCCTGAAGGACTGGCAGCAGGCACTTTGAAGCAGCAGCTCCCGCAGGAGTTGGTGTTGTGATCAAATCACTAACCTGCTCAGCTCCTGCTCTGGGAGCTGTCAGAGGATATTAGGGCCAGGAGGCCAGACTGCAACATACAGTGTCTGTGCCATGCAGCAAACTCAAGCCTCTGTGAGTCTGGTTTCCGTCCTGAGTCTTGTTTCTGCTGGGATTCTTCTGGTTCTTGCAGGGTACTGGCTCCCTCCACTTGGCTTGAGCATGCTGACAATGTGTGGCTGGCGGTGGGTAATGAGTGAGGGATCTTCAGCCTAGAGACCAAGAGGAGCAAGTTACTGCAGTGAGCTCTTGGTCAGGGACAGAAAGGTCCACAGGTTTGCTGTTCCCTGGGAGCCGTAACTCATGTCAAATGAGAAGTACAGAATGGGCTTGCCCACAGACAGGCAGGCCATCCTCCTGTTGGTAGTGGGCAGCAGAAGCTTGGTGGAGGGAAGAAAAGCAGGCATCAGAGTCCAGCCTGACATAGCATTTGCACAGTTGTACTATGGAGCTCCCTAGCCTGGTTTACAGCCCCTCCTATGCACACCTTTAGGAAGAAACAAGCAAAACTGCAGGTTAGATTTGACCAGTGGAGTCAAAACCTGCTGGATGGTTATCGCGACTCACCTGGCGCTATTAAATCTCACCTAGAAGGGAGACAGAGTTGGCCAACACAGTTCAGCTCTAGCTCCAGTGGTGAGAAAAAAATCCAAGCCTAGAAAGTGTTTCCACAGCTGCTGATGGCCAATGCCTTTTCCAGCTCAGGAAAGCTGCTGCCAAGAGTAGGACAGCGTGCAAAAAGCACAAATGCCTCCTCAGCAAGGCAGCAGATGCCCCCAGGCAGCTGCCAGCAGGTTTTCTACCTGCCTTCCTACTTCAGGGAAGGACATTCCCTCAAAAGCCCAACAGTTGCTTTGACTTTCAGCCTGGGCCAAGCGGGACCTTCATCAACTTCTCACCTCGCCAGCTGCCATGAAAGCAGCGATGGCAGGTGTGAAATTGCAGGTGACTTGCTAGCTTCTGGCACTCCAGTTCTGTCATTTTGGGCTTTTGACAGCCTCTGAGTGGGCAGGAAGAGGGAATCGCACTGAATCCATGCCTTCTGGAGCAGGTCTTGGGTCATAAAGCACTTGGGTGGAAGGAAAAGGGTTAAAGAGGGGACAGGAAACACTATTCAGGGCTTATACCACAGGATGATTTCTGGGAAAGGAGGG